CAGAAAGGGCTAGAAGTTCATCTTTACTGTAAAGATAGGTAGGCAGAATTATCAAGCAATGACAACCACTAGTTTGTTACAACCTGAATATACATATTTGAAATTTTACATAATGTCTACATAACATGATTCAAAATAGAGCATGAAGCTGTACGATATTGCTTTATTATTTTTTTTTTGTGGGATGGCGTATAACAGTCTATATGTCACGGGTTGAGACTTAAGCTCTGAACCCGCGCGGCTTCGGGATCCGGGCATTCATCCTTCCGGCGTCCTAGATCAGCCTTCCGCCACGGTTCACACCCTTGTGAGGTATTATCCGCTCTGGCCCTCCTGACCTCACGGTTTTGTCTTACAAAAGGCGCCTCACAAGGCGGAGGTGGTGTGAACCCTTTTATACCCCAGTGACCTTCCTATTATGTTCGATGTGGGATTCAGGACTCATCCTTAGGTCCGTGACATTCTCCCTCACCCAACCTCGTGACGCCCTCGTCACGGAGGTTGGCCACCCTGCCTACCTCCCTCGAGGTGCTTGGCGTGGATCGAACGGTTTAGGGCTGGCTCTGATACCACTTGTCACGGGTCGAGACTTAAGCTCCGAACCCGCGCGGCTCCGGGACCCGGGCATTCACCCTTCCGGCGTCCCAGATCAGCCTTCCGCCACGGTTCACACCCTTGTGAGGTATTGTCCGCTCTGGCCCTCCTGGCCTCACGGTTTTGTCCTACAAAAGGCGCCTCACAAGGCGGAGGTGGTGTGAACCCTTTTATACCCCAGTGACCTTCCTATTATGTTCGATGTGGGATTCAGGACTCATCCTTAGGTCCGTGACACATACACTTCCCTAACAATCTAACTTTTCAACACTGAAAGAAAAGTTCATCTCATTAAATAGATTATGAAACCTCCTTTGAAAACCCAAAATTTTGAATGTGATATCAAATGATTCTATAAAGTAGGTCTCTTCAATGAAAACGTGACCATAAATCTCCTTCCCTACTATCAAGGGAAACATCCAGATAGATTATGCCTTGGGTCTTGTTCCAGAATTTTTCTTTAAAAGAGCATAGGCATCACTATATATAGCAACCAAGTTTGAAAATACAGCAAGGACAATCATGAAAGTGCTAAGATCTTATCCTTCTTCGTTACTATAAAGTGTCGATCCCTGAAATACCAATGGAAAATGATTTAATGTAAATTTATGATTATTATTGGATTAAAAACTAATAAGTCTACTGAAAACAATCAAGACAAAATAAGAACTTAAATCAAGTAATATCTAAACAAATGAATAGGCCAAATAAGGCGGAAGTAACAATTCTTAATAAAAATTTCCATTTTTAAACCAAAGATAAACCTAAGAGAGTTCCTTTTTTATACTCACAATCAGTTATACCAATAATGAAAATTAAAAAAGCCTAGCAGTGGTAACATCTCATCATTCTGGACAATTGACAGCAATAATAAACTTTTCAAGCTATCTAACATTAAAAACGAGTCCCATATGCAGTTTAACCTTATTTTCTTATTAACATTTCTGAGCCGATGCCAACCATGTTTAAGTTTTAATTTTTTATTCCCAAGCGTATAAACCTTGTTGTAACAAATAAATATCTAGGCTCATCAACAGTCTACTCTAATGTATGATATAAGAAAGTTGATCACCAATGTGAAGGAAAGGTTAGCTGATATCTAATCGAATTGAAAGACCAAAAACTCACCTAAGAGTAATAGTAGTAGGAAAATGAACCCAAGACAAACTGTAGCAGTTACTCCAGTGAATTGGAAAGCTTCCCAAATGCTGGGTATAAAATTTACACCCAAGAAGATAATTGTGATGAGTCCAGCAATAATAAAAGCAAACCTCATATTAGACAAAGCTAAAGGCCTTGCAGAAGGGAAGAGGAGGCCATCCATGTTGAGTCGCAATTGATAGAAGACAATAAGGAATACACGCATGAGGTAAGCAGCATAGCTAACACGAACAACGTCATTAAGAAGGGAACTATTGGGAATGCCAAGGTCAGTATCAAAGTTGGCAAGCACATTATCCAATGTTGCATCATCGAATAAAAGGAATCCAAAAAGGCTTGTTATTATGTAAATGGTTAAGCATAAAATGGGTGTTGTTCGCAATACTGGTTTTATCTGTGTAAAGTCTTCCGATTTATTACCTATGCTGTGAATTGCAAATTTAAGCACATAAGAAAATTAGTCACTTTTAAAATCCTGCACCAAAATAAAATATGAAAAATACATTGTTTAAATCAAAGAATCTAATGGCTGAATCAAATTGCATACCATTATGTGGTAGATATTGTTGGGAAATACCACAGCTCTGATACCATTTGTTGGGGAACACCATAGCTCTAATACTATTTATTGGGCTAAAAGTCTCCAATCCAATCACATCAGCAGAAGTAAAATCAAACAATAAATCAAACACACATGAGACAACAATTTAACGTGGTTTGGTCCAATTAACCTACATCCACGGATAAGAAATAAAATCCATTAATTGTAAAGAATTACAAACATACATCAAATCATTAACCTTACTCAACAATCAATACTCATAAGACATTCTCAATCTCTTCTAATCCTATGGAGTATTCTCAACCCAAATAAATACAAACCCAAACCCTTATGCACCTTTCAACATAACCAAACACATACCCATATGCTCTCATACATCATACTTATGTGGACCTTCTCAGTCTCCTCTAATCCACTCACAAACAAACATACAAACCTATCTCATACATCATACTTATGTGGACCCTCTCAGTCTCCTCTAGTCCACTCACAAACAAACATACAAACCTATAAGACGTAGAGCCTCAATACTCTTATGGGGTGTCTATCTCACAAAATTTTATAGCTCTCTTACATCTTTTTCTCATACTTAATCCTATAAATACTTCACTTATTTATAACCATACAAACTTGCCCTTTAAGAATCCCTTTCCTCTTAGAATTCTTCTCTTGTAAATTAAATTTATGTATTAAGAATCCCTTTCCTTTTAGAATTCTTCTCTTGTAAGTTAAACTTACCTATTAAGAATCTTCTTTCTCTTAAAATTCTTATTTTGTAAGTCTTCTTGTCCATCAAGCAATATCTGACAAATCTCAAACAAATCTCTAATAAATTTCAAACAAATCTCTTATGAGATTTGAGTCATTATTTCTAACAGATATATGCAAGTGACTAAAACAGGGATTACAGTGAGGAGTTTCCAGAGTAGCACTTATTTTCAAATTCAATTTATGGTTAAAAATAGGATAAAGAAAATCTTGGTTGGTCATTTGCTCTGAATTTTTTAAAATGTAATCATTGCTCAAATAAGTTTTAATTTCACCTGGAACCAAGTCACGATCATAACAATTAATCAAATCGACACTTTTATTTTAGGGAGTGACAATCACCTTTTGTTTTAGATACAAGGGTTGGTATAATTTCACTAGAAATCATCATACACCACAGACACTAGTGCAACAAACTAATAAATCTAGTGAGATTTTTATCCAAGTTGTTTCTTTTTCATTTTCAATCATTGTACATCCTATTTTTCATCACCTATGTCCAACAACAATTGAGCAAATTATGTAACTTCAACTTTGGTTTTCTCATCTAGACTTTGTCTATGAAGCCACATTCACATTGTGTAATGGTTAAAAAACATATTACATAAAAAATACGACAAGACTAAAACAACAAATCTTCAATTCTATACTAACCTCAAATTTAATTAACCAAGACCCTTCAACAGAGCCTAGAAAAGAAAAACAATAATTAATAATAAAAATAAACTCTATTCAAACAATGGGCAAAGCAAAAGAAATTTTCCATTGAAAGCATTTTTCAATATCATAAAAAGAATGCAAATTGATTGAGCAACATAAAAGCAACCATAAATTATCCACGAAAAACTAATTTTCCATAAAAAATGACAACATGAATAAAACAAAACATTGGAAACGTAACCCAACAATTTAAAAGCTTTTTTACCAAACAAAAGAACAATATTATGAAGTGATTTCAAACTAAAATCAAGGAACACGCAAATCTCAAAAAACAAAAGATAATTCAAAAATTATTACAACACAACAAAACAAAACATCGAAAAAAAAATGTTCAAGATCTATTAAGTCATCAGTCGTAAAGAAACTTTGAAGTACAACACACCAATTGAAGAAATTGCAAAGAAGAAAAACAAATGCGTACTTTATATAGACCCAATCCTTCCCAAGAAATCAAACTATAATAAAGAATTCAAGGCTTCGGACATAAAATATTGAAATTAACAACCAGGAAATGAGACGACTTGAAAAAACTCAAGGAAAAGAAACCTTTAATCGAGAAAGAGAAAGATAAAATAAAAAGAAATAACAAAAGGAGGTCCTTAAGCTTTCGATTTAACGATTAAAAGCATTTGAAAGGACAATAAAAATTTAATTTCGAATTAAATCTCTCACTTTCTTTTATTTATATTAAAATTTTATCCCCTATTATAACAAAAAATAAAAAATAAAACAAAGAAAACTCCACGATACAAAATCTAAGAATGAGAAAAGAAACGAATTAATCATAACTTGACAGCAACATGCAGACGTATAAAGACTTGACACCACTATTATTGTGTTTCGTGCCAGACTCTTTTTTTTTTTTTTTTATCTCAATTAATACTAACAATCTATTAATTTGATATGAAACTGCAAAAAAGAAATAGTTTTTCTAACTGTGTAAAAAATAATAAAGCTTCCTATAAACAGAAGTCAACACTGAAAGATAGACGGTAGACCCAAAGAACTAAGCAACACAAAAGACAATCCAACCTAAAAAATTTACCCATAAAAATGCTAGATGTCAAGTCCCTTACTTTTGGGATCCTTTTAATCTAGGGATTAATAGATTAAGCAGCCATTGAATCAAAAGAAATGAAAGCAGTACCACTGCTTTAATCCAATATCTCAACCGTTGGTTCCTTAATTTCTCTCATCATTTAAAGCTGAAAATTTTGCTGGATTTGAAAGCAGAGCCAGGAGTACATCTTTCTGCATCCACATAGAACACATGTACACCACATTTCTCCACCTTGATATATTCTAGAGTGTTCCCACAACATTCATCTGTTATGTAGAATTCAAACGAGGCTTCCTCGTAATGCTTGTCTTCTTGAAGCATACTGCCATGAAACCAAATGATCATGTGATTCGACTCAAAGCATTTAGGCCCATAATTATACATCCGAGAAACCCATTCACTTTCGAAATTATGGTAATCGCCCCATTTGGTTTTTAACCGAAATTTACAGAAAATTCGAGTGTCCATGTTTTCATGATTGTTGTCGCAATCAACCACAACACATGGAGCAAAACCCAAGATTCTATCGCTCTTGCAATCTGGAGACAGCTTGATAGTTATTGAAGAATTCGTGCTTTGATACTCGAACCTTTCCGAAGTTTTAGACCAAGCAACAACTATATCCAGATAATGATGAATTGCTCCTTCGTAGCATCCCTTTGCCCGTTCCTTGGCCATGCAGTGAATTTTGAGCAGTGCGTTAGCCAGAATGTTGTCGACTGCATCTCGGTACAAGTTGAAGCAATTAGCGAATCGCATTTTGTCGAAGCGAACGTTGTCTTCACAAAATGTGTGTCGAAACTGTTGTGTGATCGATACCCTTTCTAATGAAGTGCAGCCATGTGCATCTAATTGTAGCAGAAGAGGTGGAAGCTCTATCAACGATTTAAGACACTTGCAATCCCTTAAATAAAGATAATAGAGATTATAAAGTTGTTTGATGCTCACAGGAATTTCCATTATATTTGACTCACTTACATCTAGAGTTGTCAAGGAGCCCAAATTGCAAAAGCCGCTACGGACACTCAGGTTCCTTATATCATCCACTGATATAATATAGTCATCCAACAGGGGAACTTGGTTTCTTTGAAATTGTCCAGATTTGAACAACCCGAAAGATCAAGTTTATGAAGAGACTTCAATGTACAAATGCTAGCTGAGAAGTTTTTCAGCCTTTTGCAGTTTGTCATTCTCAACTCGTGAAGATTTTTAAGCCTTTCAGCTGATGATGGCACTTCTTCTATTGGAATGTTGGCCAAATATAAGTATTTTATGTTCTCTGGAACGTTTGGAAACCTGGTGATATTTGGGCAATAAGAGAGGTAGATAGTTTCCAGGGCATCAGACTTAAGAATGGTGCTCGGAAGATTTTGAATCCTTGTTCCACTCATGTTTAAATAAGCAAGTTTATTGAGACTGCTCCAAATAGTGCTGGGAAGATGTTTAACCTGTGAGAAACTTAAATCCAAATGCACAAGTTGGTCAAGATACTTGGTGGTCTCAGGCAGTTCCTCGATGGCTGTCGTAGCTAAAACCAAGCATGTCATATGCAGTGGGAGCTCAGGGAATTTCTTGAGATTAGCAGAACAACTAGCAAATAGGTTGCAGTGAAGAGATTTCATGTGAGTCATGAACGGAAGTTGAACCAAGCGTTTGCAGTAACTTACACTCAACCTTTTGACATTTATGGCTCGAGAAAGATCAGGGATTGTGAGCAAATTCTTGCATCCATTGAGGTCAATTACTCTTAAATTCACAAGATTCTGTGCAAAGAAAGTGAAAAATAAGTTGATTATTAACATCTCCAAAGTTTGGCTACATAAAAATAGGAAAAGTTTTTGAAAATTCTAAATAATTACTATAAGTAAAGCATACCTGCATTCCATTCCAAAGTTGTTCAATGTTGCTACCAGGTAATCTTAGTTCAACAAGGTGCTCTGGCCTAAATTTGATGGCCAAAACGCCAATGGACAGCTCTTCCAATAAAGATACATTAAACGATCCGAAATACATTTAAGACCACCCCGAGGAAGCTTAAGCACTCCCTTTCGAGAATTATGGAACTTCAGAAATCTTAGATTGGAAATCCTTGAAAAGACCTTTGGAGATAACTGTACCTTACAAATTTGGGACAAATCTAAGAATATGCCTGTAGTTGCATCAGTTCCCCACAATGATCAATAGCAAAATTAGTAAAAAAAAAAAACAATACTGAGTTGTTTGATTTGAGGTTTTAGGCCATAAATTTTTTTCAGCCATGACATAGGGATAGAAAAATGGGAAAAGTTTTAATGTACTATGCTCCTCACTGTGTTATAATTTAATTCATAATAAACATCCTCAGGCTTCCACAGTCTACTACGTCTTTCAATAGGGTCCTCGCAAACGATTTTCCAACCCATCTCCTGTAGCAAATCATGCACCCACTGTCTATTGTCTTCTGTAATATTTAAGAGGGACTTGTCGATGAGGTTGTTTATTCCACAAAGAGCAGCGTGATGATAACAACCGTCAAGTATATCTACCATTGCTTCTTTATCAAATCCTTTAAAGAAGCATGCAATATCAAGAAATATATTTTTCTCATCATAATCTAATCCATCAAAACTAATCTTCAGCACACTATGGACTTTTTCGTTGGGAACTTGCTTTAGTTTATTTAGATGACTCAGCCAGTGCTCTATGTTCTTCTTATACAGTGCCTGGGCCAAGACTTTAAGGGCAAGTGGAATGCCATTCACATGTTCCACAATCTTTTTTGATAGATGCCCAAAACCATCAATAGGATGGGTTAGCTTAAATGCATATTGAGAAAATAGTCGAAGAGAGTCATGGTAATTCAATTCCTTAACCTCATAAATTACATTAATCACATTTTCAAGGACTTGTTTATCTCTAGATGTCACGATGATCCTACTTCCGAAACCCAAGTGATCAGAACAGACGATTAAACTTTCTAGTTGGTCTAAATCACTGACATAATCAAGAAAAACAAGAACTCTTTTACGGCAAACTCTGTCCATGGTGAATTTGGATGTTCCTATTCTAGGACTGCTTATATGGAGGTTTTCTTCCTCTAATATTTTGGAAAGAAGTTGATTTCTTAGAGTGATTGCACCATATTTCTGCCACTCTTCACTAACATTTGCAAGGAAGCAGCAACTTTCGAACTGAGCAGAGACTTCATTGTAAATAGCTTCGGCAAGAACAGTTTTGCCTACCCCCCATTCGCCATATTCCTATCCTGAGAGTATGATGTTGCACACCAATGCACAACAGCGATTTAATATGCTCCAACTTGGGACCAATTCCAACTAGTCCCGTGCAAACACTTTTTGACATGCAATTCAACTTGTTTAAAATATCGTGAACAATTTCCTTGACGAATAGGTGCTCAGGCCTAGCAAATGAGCAACAATAATATTGGTAATAATTTAGAATAATGATTCACAAATTATTTAAGGCTATCATATGAAATTTACGCTTCTTTTCCATCAAGGGACCTTTATATATATATATATATATATATATATATATAAACATTTAAAGTGACAAAATTTTGGTAAGTAGAAAAAATGAATAAGTTATCCTTTTAGTTATTTAACTTTTCAAAAATATTTTGTTCTAATTATTCGACTTTGAAAAATAATGTTTTACTTTTTACCGTTTGAGTTTATATTTAAAATATTATTGATTATAAATTTTAATGCCATGCTAGGGATAGTTAAATAAGGTGCAACTTAAACATTTGTTGTATTAATGAATCTAATCATAATAGCTTAAAAAACTGGCAATTTATAAAATTAAAACTGGTAATTGTTGGTAATAAATGTTTAACTTTTTTAATTTTTTTTAAATTGCATAATTTATTATTCATAGAAAAAAAAAAAAAGAAACTGGCCCAAGCATTTACCACTTTTTCATATGATAGCATGATGTACTTCTTTATATAAGTAGGTATTGAAAGACAATTGCATAAGCAATTGTTTCTAGTTATGCTCGATCCTTTAATATACATTATACTATACATGCTATAATTATTTTATGTATTTAAACTTGATTCAATTACCTCTCACATTAAAATTGTTATTTGTTAACTTTTTAATGTTTTTATTTAAATTTAACAATTGTAATTTATAAAGAATTAAAATCACATTATTATTTGTCTATTTATTATATCCACAATCATTATGTATGAACTCTTAAAAATAATAAATTTGTAATAAATATTCAGTGACATTCATGTAAACTTAAAAAAAAAAGAAAACAAATTAACTTTTTAGTTTTCCCAACAAGATTATACTTTTTCAATCAAATACCAAAGGTTTATTATTTTTTTGCCAGCACTTATTTTCTCATATCTTTGTGACCTTTTTTATTTTTTTATATGTAACAAATTTTCAAATAAATTATGTTAGTTGATCAAAATTTTAATTGGCCCCTTCAAGATCAGATGTCATGATCTATCACTGCTTCATCAATGATTAAGCATAATTTTTTACTAGCCCTTAAGATAAATAGATAAAAATTTAATTTAAAAAAAATTATTAATGAAATATTATCAATTGATTTACTAATAGTCTATAAAATCTATAAATTGACAATATATAATATATAATTTTTTAACATACATAAGTGTTATTGTTTTGACCATTCACTTTTAAAAAGATAATGGACCTATCACCATATGTATATAGCGTAATAAGGCATTCAAGTTAAAATTAATAAAAATGTTATCTCTTAGATGAGAAAACAAAAAATTTCAAAAACTTAGATAATCAAAAAGAGAATTTATTCTTAAATTTTATCTAACAATGAATTACTCTCAATTCAAGTAAAAATTAATATTTTCATCTATCTAGAATCTTGATTATAAGTTTTACTTATTCTTTAAAAAGGAGTTTCTATTTTTTATTTATTAAAAAAAAAAAACTTGAATAATCATATATTTAGCAGAAATTATATATCAAGTTTTACAATTTCCTCTTGCCTAGAATCTTATCTGGAAATAATTTTAGTTGTCTATAGTTATGTCGTCTAAATTCTCTTAAAATTTTAGATCACACCATGATTGAGAAATATCCTCTCCTATTTCTTAAACATGATTGAGAAATACATATGTATGTATGTATGTATTTGATGTAGGACAAATAATTTTACTTATTTCCGGTTAAATGCCACCCACTTAAGTTGCCTGCTTCAGTCAAGGCAAGTCTCCATCTCTAAACCTTCTCTATGCCATTCTTTTCATGTTCAAGAAAAGCTTTTTCAAAGCTCCCAGCTTGTTTCCGCACGTCGGATGGGTTAAAATGGTAGAAAATGGGAACCAGAAGCTGTCCCCTTGAATGCCTCAATTCCATTATCTGGGAGAGTTCTTCCAAGCACCACGATGAAGTAGCGTAGTTTTGGGAGAAAATTATTGCTGAAATCATTGAGTCTTTGATTGCTTTTGATAAGGCCTCAGAAATTTCCTCTCCCCTTTGCAGTTCTTTGAAATCAGCGTACGTTCCAATTCTTTTTTCTCGCAAAGCATCATAAAGGTGACAAGTAAAGCTATTGCGAGTGTCTTCACCTCTAAAACTTAAAAACACCTCATGCTTTGGTTGCCCGATGGAATTATCAGAAGGAGTCATGATTAAGCTTATAAAAGATCGTAACCCAAAAACATATAATCAAAGTAAAAAGAAAAAGAAGAGAAAAGTAGATCGCGTAGTTCACCCCGAGACAGCAAAACTGATATGTGATTAAGGTCGATCGCCTTGATCTTTTATATTAATTCTCTGCTCCTTTGGAACAAAAAGATGTTCGAGGAAATATCCATTTTTTAGACTTTTTGTAGTTGAAAATTAGTAGAGAGTTACTACTTGGTTAATAGGATGTTGGTGAGCGGTCTTTTTCAATGAATTAAAAGAATTAATGAATTAAAATGATATTACCGTCTTTTTCAATTTACTTTTAGATTTTGAATTTTTTATAAGAGAGAACTGCTAGTCTAAGTAGCAATGTGAAATGGGTTAAGCGACCCATAATATGATAGAGTTCGACATATATTAGGCGTATTTGGCGCGATTCGTTATTAAGTAATTAGATTGGGTTAAACACAATATAAATATTTGTACTGTGCTAATTAAAGGATTTTTGACCTATGAGTTGGAACGGCACATCACATTAGGAGCCAATGACAGCAAGTGAGCTAGTATGGCATCCAAATGTTTTTTTCTTTTTTTTTTTTTTTAATCTTGCGATGAAATTATCTTTGCTTTTGATATTTTGTTGACAATTTATAAAAATAAAATTATATCAAATAAATATACTTATGAAATAGTTAAACTATTAGTTTGTATATAGTTTGTGACATATACAATACAGAAATTGTATGTACATATAGTTATTATATCCATTTATTTAATCACACATTTTCATTAATGTTTAACTTTAAACTCTTAAAAAATTTCATGGTATGGTAATCTTTATGATTTTAGAAGCATATCAAAATAATTATAGAGGTAATTATTGCATAACAGAGACATCAAATGAGTCGTATTAGGCCAATATAGCTCATTTAAATATTAGCCCATAAGTTAATGAATCATGTTGGCCTAATATTATTTTTTAACGTGTTTTGTTAGCATGGCCCATGACAGTTAAGGCTATGGTCTAACACAATACATGACTCGTAATCTTCATAGTCGTGTAGTGTTAGGCATAGAACTCTTTTTTGTCCTGAGTTGGTCCAAGCATAGTCCATTAATACTTTTTCATAATTTTAATTATTTTTAAGAAAAATTTTCATCTCTTATTGTTAAAAATAATATGTAGGAGATAACAAATATAAAATGAAATAAAAAGAACATATAATTTACGTAGTTTGACAAAATGTCTAAATTCATAGAGATGGATAACAAAATAACTAAATAAAAATATTGAAATTATAATCTTAATATTTAAAAAAAAAAAAAGTTCATACATACCATCTATCCAATGCCTAATAATACACATATAACTAAAGTTTTATCTACTAGTCCAATATCACAAATAAGTGAAATTTTAGAGAAATTTTTTTATAAACTAGATATTAAATTATATTTATAAGAAAAAAAATTTTAAAAGCATATGATCTAACAGTATTTCTTGAAACTATTTAATAATTGGATAGTACACAATTTCTAATTAAATCATTAAAGCATTCATCATCTACAAAAACAAAATGGTTGCTTAAACTGCATTATATATTTAACTAGTTGATTACACTAATTATCTTATGAAAAATAAAAGGCACCCAAAGACCCATTAGGATGCCGACTAAATGTAGTTTGTGTGGGATCATTAGAAACGGCAGATGTAATCTTGTGTTTTTCTTATGACTTTTTAGATTACCAATTTCCTTATGACTTTTCAGATGATCAATCATTTCTTTTATTTTACAACTAAATTTTTTTTATATATTGTTATAAGTTTAAAGATTTTGATCATATAACTTTGAAAAGAATGTTAATTTGTTTTTACACACAAATTTAAACAAAAAAATTGGTATATCAAACAATTCGCAAACTAGTTAGATATAGTTTAGCTATCAATAATTTAAATATTTAATAAATAAATTTATTTAATATAATTTTTTATAAATTACCAAAAAAATAAATATAATTTCATTAGAATATAAAAATAATATAAATATACTCAAAGGTAAGAAACCTATTTATAGGGCTAATGTGACACAGCACATTTGGGCTTGTATATCATGCCATGTTAACCCATGTGCTATATGTTGCCACTGGCCCTTAACGAGCCATATTGTGCCAACCCATGAGCTTAAATCCTTCAAGCTGAACACAGTACACATATCTATATCATACTTAACCCAATTATTTAATAATGAGCCATATTGAATCATTATTATATTATGGATCACCCATCCCATTTGACACATCTATGCATATATATATATCAAATATAGAACATTGTTTCCAAAACCCCTTTTTTTTTTTTGGTGGCCACAGACCATGGGTTACACTTTTTCAATTTTCATTGCTCATCTTTTGAATCTAATAATAATACGTTTTAAGGGGCAGCTGATTGGCTACTTACATTGACTATTTCAATATTAAAAAGTTGTGAATTTATTAATATTCATGACCTGAATGACCTTCTAAATTGTAAATTCAGTCACTCCAATCTCAGTTACGGTTGCGATCTCTGGTGAGTTTTGTTTTTAGACCAATTTACTCCGACCCCCAACCCATCACACCTATGATTATGATAATAATATCTTACTACTAAAGAAAAGTAGAAATGATACTATTATTAGAGCTGAATTCCGAATTATAGTATGAAGGATAAAATGTCTAGTGTTTGGAAGAATATAGTGAATATGAATAAAGTGGAGACAGGCAAAAATCTATCAAGTACAAATGGATGTAGATGGATTGTAGGCAATGAGTCCGATGTCTTATTCCTCGAGTTGTTTGCATTAGCGGAAGATAAAGAAGGGAAGATAGGAGACGTATGGGACACGACAGTAAGGGAATGGAAGGTAAACTTAAGAAGGCCGTTATTCGAATGGGAGAAAGGCCTCATGGAAAACTTGATAGAAATGATCAAACAAGTGGTGGTAAGACCAAGTACAAGTGATAAACTAGTTTGGGAAGCATATAGAAAAGGGAAGTTCATGGTTAAGCAGTGCATATCCATTTTGACCAGCAAACCAGTGTGATGGAGAGCAACAGGTATGCTTCAAAAACATTTGGTAACTTAAGTGCCTCTTAAAGTTCAACTTTTTCTGGTTTGGCTATGTTAAATGCAATTCTGTCGAAAAGTTTCCTTACAGCTAAAGTAGTGAATTTAGGGGACGTGGAATGCTAGTGCCGTTGGTGTAAAAGGGTACAAAAGGATAGTACTCATATTTTACTACCGTGTCAATTTTCTTGGATTGTGTGGAATTCGGTCTTTAACTGGTGGGAACTAACATTGGTTATACCAGGGGGAGTTGAGGATATGATAATGCATTGTGCAGGGGCCCAGTTTGATGGCACAATGAAAAGAGGTGACTGGCTGTATGTGGAGCCACTCTCTGGTCAATTTGGTTAGCTACAAATGAGTTAGTTTTTCAGAATAAGATTTGGAAAGGGGATGAGGTGGTGTTCCTTATTAAACTTAGATCGTTATTTTGGATCAAGGCAATCAACAAAGAAGAAGGGATTTGCAGAATGGTGGGTGAATCCAAAAACAAGCAACCCAGGTGCTCAGGATTCAAAGAAGAGAATGGGTGTTCAATGGGAAAAGCGTGTTGAAATTTAATGCGGATAGTTCGGCAAAAAGTAAGCCAGGACCAGCAAGATGTGAAAGAGTTTTTAAGGAATGATAATGGTAAGATAAAGTGTATGTTTTACGGTCCCTTAGGAGTACAAGAGGCAATGTGGGCTGAAATTCTAGCTATTCAAACAGCAATGAAAATTTTTTACACATCTCCATGGAAGGGATAATGAGCTTTGATTATTGAGTCAGACTCAAAACAAGCTCTTAATGCTATGCTAAATAGGAAAAACATACAGTGGGAGCTACGAAAAGAGTTAGAGAAAATTGATCAGTTGAAAGAAAAAATAGGACAGGTGGACTTTGTGCATGTTTTTAGAGAGGCTAATGTTTTTGCAGACTCACTGGCTAAAATGGGTGTGGATTCTTCAACTCTGTTTTATGCTTGGTTATAGGAAAATGTATTTGTATTCGTTGATTGTAATCTGATGTCAGGTGTAGACTGATCCCAGTAAATGCAATATGGTTAATCTATTATATGTACCTTTGATCCCTATAAATAAAATACGTTTTTGCTGAGAAAAAAAAAATTAGAGGTGAATTCAGTCATCTTTCTTAAAAAGTAAATTCTCATATGACAATTAGATTAATTATTTTTGACATTTTGTTTATAATTTATAAAAATAAAATTATATTAAATAAATATACTTATAAAATATTTAAATTATTAATTTGTGACATGTGCAATCTAAAAATTAATTTTGTTAAATTAAATTTTATATACATAAAAATCAGCACTTTTCACATAATTATATCTAAGTCTTAAAAATTTATTATATATAAAAATACATAAGTCCAACTTTCATTTCATAAAAAAATTAAGTATTTTGAAAAAAAAAAGTTGTCAAAAAGTTTTAAAAATATAATAAACTATATTATTGAGCAATAAAGAAATGATAAAATAAACAAAATTAAGTTTTTACATAATCTAATTAATTTTTTTCAATTTGCATCATCTTTATCTTCTAGAATAATACACACACATATATATAAATTTATATAAAGATAAATTATATATATTTATAGCACACTTAATTAAAAGAATTTCCTAAAGGTTCTTTATGTGACACTTTCCAATATTATTAAATTATTATTATAAACTTATTCATCATTTATATTATAATATAACCCATGAGACATCTATCTAATTTTGCAAAATATCCATTTTACTTAACCATAATCTTTCATCTATTACATGCCTAATATTTTAAATGATTATTATATGCTTAGTCTATAATTAACAATAAAAAAAATATAGCATTTAATAATTGTTAAGGCTATTTTTTTACTTTTGACCAACTCCCGTTGGAGGTTACTCTCA